TTTATTTAGATGTGATTTGTTTAATTTTACTTTAAATATATTTTTTCATTTTTACTGTTGATTTATATATATTTTATTTTATTTTTTTAACTTCTTTTTGACTTGGCCGGACTCGGCCCAAGTCAAGCCAAGTCCGGGCTCAGCAAGGGGCCGAGTCATGTTCTCGAACACTGATGTTCACTATTAATAGTGGTGATTGCGTATCTTTGAGAGAGACTCTTTAGTATATTTATAGGACTGTAGTTCTGCCTACATGCCAGTGGTTGTGTGTGTGGAATATGAGAGAGAGAGAGACCACTATGGATGTAGAGAGAGAGAGAGACCACTATGGATGTAGAGAGAGAGAGAGGGAGAGAACTAGTATTAGACTATTGGCAGGTGTTGGCGTGCGTGGGGTGAGAGAGAGTGAGAGAGACTCGGAGTAAGTCGTGTGTGTGTTTTGTGTTTGTAAGAGAGAGAGATATACTTGCGGTAGAGGGGTGTGTTATAAGAGAGAGAAAGAGACTATTACCCATAGCTGTGTTTGTATAAGAGAGAGTTGTGTTAGAGAGAGAGAGATAGATGTGTGCATGTTAGAGAGAAAGAGAGATGCACGAACCGTTGTGTAGGTGTAGTCCGGTGAGTAATGAGAATACCTGCAATTCGAAGAAAAATGAGGTAATCACTTAACAAGCTATACGTTACAAGAGCAAACTTTGGGATTAACAACAGTATCGGTAAAATCATGAAAGCTTCACTCAGACTCGCCCGAGTTACTCAAACTAATATGTTCATGTAGCGGAGACATGTTCACACTTTATTTTGTTCTTTTCTTTCGACTTGACTGTGTCCGATAGAAGGGCCAAGTTTGCTAGACTTGCCCTAAGCTCAATTTGGGCTCAAGAGCCCAGGCTTATTTTTTAACATTGAAATAATAATTGTAATAACTATAAAAATAACGTAAATTCATCAAAATGGACCTCACTTTTCAATTGTTTAGCATGTACCTTTTTTCTATTATTTTAATTTGATGGGCATTTTGAAATTAACTAAAAAAATACAGGTAAAATGTTGAATAGTAAATACATTAGGTATATTTTAGAACATATCACTAATAAAAATAATAACAATAATTACTATTAGAAACAGTCATGTTTGCACCATAAATAAAATAGGAAATTATGCGGAGCTCCAAATTATTGCAAATTTTATGTGGAGATCCATGTAATACTGCCCATGTAACCTATGTTTCAAACATAAGATTGCTTTTCATTTTATTTTTGAGTGATTTACATATGGATCCTTAAATTTTAGATAAAATACAAAATGCTCAACTTATAGACAGAAATTACAAAGAATATCAATCAATCCAATTTTTTTCTTTTTTTTCAAAATTACCCCTCAGTCAACCCAAATTTTAATTTTTTCTTTTTAGTTTTTCGTTAGTAGGGCATTGCCTCAAGTTTTAAGGCATTACCCTACTAACAAAAAAAACTAAAAAAGAATGAAAAAATCAAAATTTAAGTTGACGGAGGTATAATTTTGAAAAAAAAACGAATTTATCAACCTTCTTTGTAATTTCCCCATTTAAGTGGAACATTTTGTATTTTAACTAAAATTTTAAAATCGACACATAAATTACTCTTTATTTTTAAAATTTTGAAGTTTAAGAACTGGTCCTAATGTTTGGATCCTCGACCTGCATGGCTTCTATGAAGATTGTGCAAGTCAATCAGTCTAACGTTTGAAACCCTGAATCCCGTGTGACTTGTACAATATTCAAGTAAGCCAAGCGGACTGCTTGACTTGCGGATTCATACAAGCCAACTGCTTCAAGATTGGGAACATTAGACTGATCCTTGAGTATTTTTCTCTTTGTTATCTATTTTCCTTATTATTATTAAGATGTTCAACGATAATAGTAGTGGTAAAAATAATAGTAATAAAAATAAGAGTAATAATCTTATGAGACCCTCCTACACACATTTGTGTATGACCCCAAAAGACCACCATTAAATTTGACACAGATATCTAGAAAAGTTAAATCTCATACCTATACACCCATGTGATAACTTTTTAGGAAATCTATACCAAATTTAATGACGATCTTTAAGGGTTTTATACACATAGGTGTGGGAGGATCTCTTAAGATTATTATTCTAATAATAATTTTATTATTATTTATTATTACAATTGTCTTTTATTGAGATATAGAAATAAGTTAAGAATAGTAATAAACAGTACGGACCCATAGAGGCTGAGGTTATAAGGGTAGGGGGGTTGTTGGAAATAATGAGGGGGGAAGGTGGGTGGGGAAGGGAAAGGTGTCGCTGCTGTGCCTTGGACGCCACTTCCCAACGTCGTCGTGTTCATCATCCTCACACGACTCCCACCTGCACACACACATTATTCACCCTTAAATTCACTCTCTCTCTCTAAAAACACACACACATTCTCTCTCTCTAGAAGCACTCACATTCTCACTCACGAGTCTCCACACACACACACGCATTGTTACTCTCTCTCTTTCTACATATACGTGCACATATTCACTCTCTCTCTCTCTCTCCTTCCCCCCCCACCAATAAGTACTCTCTCTCATACACAAAAATGCAAGCTAAACCATTTACTCTCTATATACACATAATTACTCTCCCTTACCAGTAAAAATGGCGACGACATTTAATCTCTCTCATACAATAATGCATGGAGACACATTCAATCTCTCTCTCTCAACACACATATAAGTACATTTCATGCACACAAAAATGCATCCAACCACATTTAATCTCTCTCTCAACCCCACACATGCACTCTCTCTCTAATATACAAAAATGTATGGAGACATTTAATCTCAATCTCTCAATGCATGGAGACACATTTAATCTATCTCTCTCTCTAAAGGCATGGAGACACATTTAATCTCTCTCGCTCTGTCTCTAAAGGCATGGAGACACATTTAATCTCTCTCTCTCTCTCTCTCTCTCATTGCATGGAAACACATTTAATCTCTCTCTCTAAAAACAGCACAAAGTCACTTTACAGACACACTCTGAAATTATCTAGCTGGTAAGTTTCTCAGTTCTGTTTTCCACTCCTTTTTTACTTGTCACTAATTCATGTCCCCCCAACCCCACTAAAAGTGTTTCTCTCTCTATCTCTATCCGTACAAAATGATGTGGTCTACACTTATACAGAAAATTGGAGTCACTTACACAATCACACTCGTGCCTAATCCTTGCCTTTCTCTATTCTCATCTCCAATCCTCATTTCCCCACACAAAAAAAAAAGGACCCCTCTTCATATCTTTCTCTCTCACACACCCCCATTTTACTCTCTCTCCTCCCATACACTTTTTATTCTCTCTCTATCTTTTTTTGGAAAAAAACTTTACACATTTTACACTCCCCTCTCTCACACAAACATTTTACTCTCTCTCACACGCACACATTTATTCCCTCTCTCTCCTCTCTCTCTCTCTCTTGCATTCTTACAATATTTGCTTCTAACACAAGGGAAGCCTTGAGTCTGAAAGAAAGAAAAGAAAAATGGAAGATTTTGATGTCTCCTTTCATGAAAATGACTCTTGAATCATTCATTTCTCATTCAAACGGATTGCATGCAAGTGAAACATATCCAATCCTTCCTCTCCTTCAACAACTAAATGTAACTATCACCAACTTAGCATTTGAGAAACTTTTGTTAGTTATAAAAAAGAAGAAGTAAAACTGTAGATACCTTCTGGCTAAAGGAATTTTTAAAACATATTGACCGTAATAAAAAAAAATACATATTTTTAACTTTTGACAAAAAAAAAAAGGAGAAATGTTTTTATATAATTAAAAATACATAAGTAAAGGAACAAGGAGAAGGAAAATTCACCAGTAAACTCATACATTTAAGTTCTCAGACGTATAGAATTGTAGTATTCTTACAACTAAATTATTATCATTATTGTTATTATTACAAGTCATTTCTAAGAGATCAGAAAGATTGAACGATACACAGAAGATTAGCATGGCCTTCTGCAAGGATGACAAGCAATAATAACGATAGTTCTTCTATCAAAAAAAAAAAACAATAATAATAATAATAGTTGTCGTAGTAACTTTTCAAAAAAAAAAAAAAGTTATCGGGTTAGTAATAAGAATAATGAGAATAGTATTTGCATTAGTACTCCTCCTAATGGCTGTAAAATGATAATCATTCTCTTAAGTATTAATTGTATGCTATAACTACTACTACAAAGAAGGTGAAAGTGAAAATCAAGAAGAAATTAATAATAATAATGAAAATTTATCAAAAAGTACTTAATTTATCAACCACTTAACATTTTACCCATTTCCAACTATTTCAAAGCTTTCAAATCATGATCATGCGTGTTTTTATGGGATTTTTAAAATTAAACTTGGATGAAATATTAAATGGTTCATCTATGGTGTATTTTGATAAAGTTTCCTAATAATAACAATAGGAAGGTAAAGTTTAGAGAGAGAAAAATTATAGAGAGAAAAAGTACCATGTTGTGGGGTCGAAGGTCTGGATCTTTGAACACCCAAAGAAGCAAGGTTGCAATTAGCCCTCCTCCCATCGATCACTGGTGTAGCATCCACACAAGCTCTCATGGCTGCCTCTGGTTCCCTAAAAGTTACCTGATTCAGCAAAAACATGTTAATCGACTTAATTATAAGGAAAGAAATGCAAAATACAATGGAAACTTTGTGCGTTTGCAAACAGTTGCCTAAAATGGAAACACATAATAATCGCCAAAAGAATTAAGGGGAAAAAGTTGAAAAAGAATAAAGAACAAAGGTGTTCCTTATTCTTTAGAGAGAGAGAGGATTCATAATTATTTCTCAAAACCAAGTAGAGGGAAGGATGATTCATATTCTTTCAACCCCATGTCCATGATCCAATTTCATTCAACTGCAAAGCCATAAACTAGAGAGAGATGATAATTATTCATCAATCCCCCACTCACATACGAGAGAGAGAGAGAAACATGATCCATATTCATTCATCCCCAACTCACATGTGAGAGAGAGAAAGAGTGTTGATCCATATGCTTTCAGCCATAGTCAGTTGAGAGAGAGAGAGAGAGGGGGGAAGAGTGTTGATCCATATACTTTCAGCAACAAGTCACTTGTGTGTGTGTGAGAGAGAGAGATGATCCACATTCTTTCATCCCCAAGTCATAAATGATACGAGAGAGAGAGAGACAGCATGTTTAGATCTTGGATAAAATCCCACCTTTGAGGAAATCAGATCAAATTTGAAACCCCACATAAACAAAAGAACCAACAAGCAGCAAGAGCATCACTTCAAGAAATTTCACTTCGTATAATCAACACAAAACAACACAGAAATGGTGAAAAAACCAACAAAATCCCACTAAAACAAGAAACCCAAAAAAAAAAACAACCAAAAAACAAGAGCCATAGATTTAGATACTCACAAAGCCATAGCCCTTGGATCTTCCTGTATTCTTATCAGTTATCACAACTGCCTCAAGAATCTCCCCAAACTGTTCAAAATATTTCCTCATGGTTTCTCTCTGTGTCTCCCATGCCAAGCCCCCCACAAAGACCTTAGTGTAAGTGGTATCTCCAAATTTTCCGGCCAAATTACCAGCCGGATTCATTTTCTGGTGCCTGAAAATATTAGTCTCCGACCAGCTTTCTCTCTCCTCCTCCCCCCACTCCTCTCTCTCTCTCTATCTATCTATCCTAACTCCAAAGTTAGAGGCTTTTGCAGGTGGCAATCGGCATGAACAACCTAGAGAGAGGATTAGTGGTGATTCTAGTGAGATGGGTCTCTCTCTAGAGTTAGAGGAGTTAGGAGTTAGGGATTTGGAGGTGAAATTAGGTTAGGAATTGAGGAGAGAGAGAAGAGAGAGAGAGGAGGCGGAGGCGGTGGCGGAGGCGGAGGCGGTGGCGGAGGCGGACGAGGAATGGAGGCAAAGCAGAAAAGTGGGTGGCGAAAGGCGGCTAATGAGCGCCAGGCAAGCATTATATAGGTCATGTATTTTCATATTTTATGATACCCCTTCTACGTATAAAAGATAAAATCAAGGATAATTACCAAAATGCCCTTCCGTTTTAAAAGGGTTTGCATTGTATGCCCATTCAAATATTTATGTTTTGGTCTTTTCTTTTCTTTTTCTTTTTTTCCATGGCTTTAAATTTTTCATGTAAATTATTTTCTTATTAGAAATTTGTTTTATCATTCATAATGAGATTCCTCTATTTATTGTTGATTGCAAAGCGAATTATATGCTCCCTAGAGCATATTGTTGAGTCCCTCCCTAGTGTAAAACCATGTAATTTTAGGACCCTAAAATTTGTGGATGTTACTTGTTCAATTCAAGCAATGGGGGAAAATATGGGTAGTATTGCTCAACATTAAAAAACTAGGGCCTAAGTCATAAAAATGGGCCCGAGGATTGGGCCTATGCTAGGGCCAACCCAATTCGTACTTGTCCGACTCGGCATGATGGAGTCCTTTATCTTTCTTGTATTTTGCTCTCTTTTTTTTTTGGCTCGACCCAGCTTGGCTTGGCCTCTCTTGGGCCAAGGCTTTTTTGGCCAAGTTCAAGCTGCGGAAAGCTTGGCCAACCCTAATAGGGCCAAACGTTTGTCAAGCCCCGGCTCAGCTCATTACCAACTCTAGCGATCAATCATAAAAAAAGAAAATCATCTACATGTCCCTTTAATAATAATATGAGAACAACATGAAGAATCATACACATTTTATATGTGCCTATATATAACATACCAAGGTTGAACATAAGTTGTCAGACAATTAATGATTAGATTTAAGAATTTAAAGTCCGAATTCTTCAAAATGGTCATTTAATAATTCTAAAGTGGATCTCTATTTTAAATCCAAACCTCCCAAACATATTAGTTGCTAAAGTGTGAAAGCATAAGATGTGCAAGTATATTATATCTAACAATAGGCTAAGTGAAGTTGTTATACTCCCTCTTTGTTTTTCTCTCTCACACCAATTAAATAGAAAGACAAGGGTATACAATGGGACCATTTATCATTAATAAAAGGAGGTCACAATTACTTATAACTATCCGATACAAAAATCTGATAACTTAGGTATGTCACAAAGTTCTAAAAAATTTCTTTTGAAATTTTAGTTCGGTCAATAGAATAAATGTAGCCAACCAATTCCATATCTAATTGTAAAAATTAATTGCCACTACTTTGTACTAAAGATAAATAATCTCATTCTATACTTTTTCAATAAAAAATATTGATTTGTTCTCTCTATGACCAATTAAATGGGAAAAACTAATCATATGTAATGAGTCCAAGTTCTTTAGTTTAATGGAGGGAATATTACATTTTGACACTATGGGGCTGAGTTGGGGTCTTTTTGCTATTAAGTCAAATATCAAGGGTATTGTGGTCATCAGGATTATCGGGAAACAAGACGTCTTGGCGGCAAAGGGGTCACCTTCGTTATTTCCATGACTTATTGGGGGTATTTTAGTAACTTTTATCCAATTGGTTCACTGTTTTGGATCATGATAGAGCCAGGCTTTTCTTCCCCCTTTTCCTTTTTTTTGAATTTCTTTTTCCCGGAAAATTGTCAGGAATTGACCGGTCGTTTTACTAATAAAACCTATTTCCTAAAACCCAAACCCTAAAATAGAAAGAAAACTAATATTTAATTCACAATTATTTCATTAAATAATTACCAACGCCGCATGAAAGGCTGCAACGCTCAAAGGCTTGGAGCCATGGCTTGGCTGTAGTGAGCCATATCCCAAGAAATATAACTATTTACTTATATTTGGAACAAAGCATGATTTTTAGCTATTTGTTAAAAAAAAAAAAATGGAATTTAAATACAGTCCTCTATGTTTCATACTTCAAGATTTAAGGGAATTTTTGGTGATTTTTATTTTCCTCAAATTACTTTTTGTGTATTTTTTTTTACAGTTGGGTCATAGTGAAATTATTTTTTGTATTTTTTTTACAGTAGTGTATTTTTTTGCAGCTTAATCAAATGTATTGAGGTTTTTCCTTTTATTTTATTTTTTAAAGAACATCTTTAAATTTCAAAAATATATTGAAATTTATTATAAATTTATTTAAAAGTAAAAAAAGTAAAAAAACATAAACAAAATTAAGATTGACATTGGGAGTAATTACTTAACTGTATACCAAAAAAAACTGAAGGGATAGCAATAGTACATTCACCTTTGGTTTAAAAAGGCAAAATCACCGCTAGTGGTTAGGTTTAAAGTCAAGTGGTTGTGGGTGTGTATTTCTTCTCACAACGTTTGAGAAAAATTCTATGGGATTTTAAGCTCCGGCACACTTTGAGCCATTTACTTTCGCATCTGACAGTTATGAATGATTGTGAGATTATTCATATCAAATGATCACATGATATGCTTGGTCAATGTTGAAGAGTTCAAAAAATTTTGACTAGTACCATTAGGGATTATTGTAAATTGGGAAATTATCGATATCTTGGACCATACTTTCTATGTATGCTCACCACCCATACTACTAACCTAGTATTGTTTATTTTTACATCTACCTCCAAAATGATAAAGCAATTTTTTAAGATGAAAATACCCCGGTGCATAAACCCATGTTTTTTTCGCATTCCTTCACTCTCTCATGGCTATAAACTAGAGGAAGACCCTACATAGAGACATTTATGGGGAGAGGGTAGGAATCATAAAATGAGAGTTTGGGGTAACTTACTTTTGATAGAAAATTTATTATAAAAAATCTAATCACTTTGTCCTTTAAACATTCCATAGTAAAGATTTTGGATGTGGCCAAATAAAAAGAGATTCATTTAACTAAAAACGTATTCTTAATCCTCGAATTTTAGGGATTTTGTTTTTGGAAAATTATCCTTTTATGCATTTATACCATCATGAGGTTTTGATCACAATAAAATAAGGAAAATGGTTTGATATGGTTGTAGTTCTATCAAAACAAGTAAAGCCTCACCTCGTAACTCATCGAAAATTGAAATACAAGCATTAGAAAACCTTTACTTCAATCATCTTGGCTTGAGCATTATAGTTGTGAAAAAAAAAAAGAATTCAACATCTAAAAATAATGTATATTGTAACAAATTATCTAGATCGTCCATTTCATCTTAAAATTAATTGTTCATAGATATGCAAGATCTGTATCATTTTTTTAGTTTCGAATTTCATTATTAGTGTTGGATTTTGATTTTTGAAGCATCATAGAGATTTCCATTACCAAAAGTGTTTTCTGGATGATGGTGAGGGTTTATTTTGTTTCCATAAAGCCTAAGCCTTGTGGAAATTTCATCCATGAAAGAAACCCGTATCATATGTGTCTCTTGCTAGTGGTTCCGCATAGGACCAAAACTATTTTAGATAAATAAGTACCTTAGATGTGCATGGATTGAGTTACTATTGCATCCTTAATATAACCTATGTGCCAAAGTTGGTCACTTATCCTTTCTAGTCATCTTTTTAGGGTACATATCATTTTATGTCATTATTTTATTTTATTTTTGCAAAAATTGTCAACCCACCAAATATGTGCTTCTTAAAAGTCCACCAATAAATCTTGCCAGGAAGATGTACTTTTAGTGCCGAAAATTCTTTGAATGATATGAAAATCTAATTAAGAAATTTAAAGCTTAAAAAACGGAACATATTGCGTACATCTATAAATATTTGAATATCTTGAAAATGATTGGTCTAGATAATATATTACAATAAAATCATTTTTCATTTTCATATATCTCGAGATCGAAATAATCGATTGAAAAGTTTTCTAGCATTAAAACAAACTTTTATAGTTGGTGTTAGAGGTGCTCCCTAATTCCATAATATAAGATTGACGCCTCATATAAAGTTTTTCTTTTATCATATTGTCAAAAAGTCAAAACACCCTTGAAATATCAACTACTCCAACTCAAAATTATATATCCCTAAAGTTGAAATTAAATAAAAATAATGAATTTAAATAGTTCATATCATGATGCTTTTTGATGAATTCCCGCCTTTTTAAAGGGTGCTAGGACCCTCCACCTTCGGTGGCTTAAAACATATATTGTCAAATTGAGTAATGGGCTTAGACCAATTTTATATTAATGATACTTATTTTGTTCTTGTAGAATAATTACTTTAGAGAAGTTTAAGACAATTTAATATTTCATTGAAAACCATGTTCCCACTAGGTTCAAGAAATTAAATGCGTTCTAACTTTTAATGCTTCTACACTCAAGTGAAAGAACCATGGAGGCATTTGGTTATGTGTAACACTACATTTCCTTTAATTTTCATTTTTGTTTTTTTTTTTAAGTTTATCTGAAATTTTATTAGGTCATTTTTAAAACACAACTTCATAAACCTTATTTTAGTTTTTATTTTATTTTATTTATTTTAATATTTTTTTAGATCACCGATTTGAACTAATCTAGATCCGATGCAACTTGTTGATCCAGTAAAAAATTTGTGGTTGAAAGATCCCCGCCCTACCGATATGGGATCTGGGCTTCTGAACACTTGTTCTCATGAATTCCTAAGTATAAGCTTGTCCTAACTAATTTTATTCAACCCTTTTTTTTTGCTTATGTTCCTCTCGTAAAAGAGGTTTGTAGTTTTTATTCTTTTGTTATGAAAGAGAAGTCCTAAGGGAGACCGGTAGAAATGCTCTCTCTCTCTCTCTCAAATTCATTACCATTTTACATAGGGCTTGTATACAACTGGACCATTTACCTTTGATACATGGTAGTCACAATTATTTACAACCATTTGATGTAAAATTTGATAGCTTAGACATGTCACAAAGTTCGAAAAATTTTTGTTTGAAGTTTGAACTTGATTAATAGAATAATTGCAGCCAATTAATTTTACATCCAATGGTCAAAATTAATGTTACCACCTTATATCAAAGATAAATGGTCCCATTCTATACTTTCTCTTTCATATAATTAGCTACAAAT